AATTCAGCCGCTTTGTCTCAATCCAATACAACAATAATTTACTCTTTAAGAACCTTAAATTTTGTCTTCTTCTCTAAGCCAATCCCACAATTTTCAGTATAAGATAATGAATGTCTAAAGAACAAAACAATTAAATATTTATATTAAAATATATTCGAGATAGGTTTTAAACAATACTATATTTTTAAGTAAACCTTTTTTAAATAAGCACTTTAAATAACAGTTAATTTTTTAATATATACCCTTTTGATGGGTAGATAAACATCCATAAAAAGAATAAAAAAGTTTTCTTTTTAAATTTATATTGAAAAGATGAAATATACTTTTCACTATGCACTTTTAGCTGGTGTTTTAATGCTCTTGATCGTTAATAAATATTATTAATTTCAATTAAAAAAACCTTGAAAAACAATTCATGTCAATTTTGTAAACATGCAGCATATTTGAAAAAAGTTAGGGATGAATTGTGTTTGATTTGAAAAATGATCCGGTTTGGATGGACGAGCTAACAAGTCGACGAGTTGATGAGTGAGTGAAGGAGTTGTAAAAGAGAGCTGTAAGAGCTTTGATATTCAAGTCAGTGTTATATATCCCATCTATATACTTGAGTTAATATAGTTTCGTGAATTTGAAAATGAAGTGAGAGATCTCTATTTATAGGTTGAACATCCGACAGGATCTCCAACAAGCCTTCAACGACTTTTTGATAGCTTCGAGAATCGCAGCATGTTGCTTGAGAATCGTTTAGACATTTGTGCTTGCATATGCTATTAAAGATCAGTTCGACTATTAACTCAGGCGGCCGAAGTAAGGCATGTAGGTTAGCTTGGCATACAATAATGCCTATGACTTGAGATAGATAGGTCGGTTCGATCTTTTGGAAGGTTCGAGCTGTTGTCTTTGTTTTCACCAATTTATTATGTAGATTTACTGTTGCTAAGCTATGAGATGATATGACACGTGACCAGTAAAAAATCACCTTCAACAAATTGTAAATTAGCTTCTCGTAAAAATTAACAATATTTAATCAACGACAAAAATCATAGATAAGAGTAGTAGACATATATGCTCTTCAACAAGTTTTCTCTTTTTTCGAGCCACTAATTTTCTTTTGATATTAGCTACAATCTTAATGAGCTTTACAGCATCGAAGTCAAGACAAATAGATGAGATCCAAGTAGAGATTCAATAATATAAAAAAAAAAAAAGAAAAAAGAAAAAAATGCATGGATAAAATGTAAACACCTCGCATTCAATGAATAAATAAATTAAAGATTATTTCGAAAGAGTGCCGAAACGGAAACGGGTTGTCGGGAATAAAGAAATAAATATCAATAATTAATTTTAATTAAATTTGGGCAAAATAGAATCGGGACACCCATGTTCTTGTCGCCGTCAGAACGAGGATTGATCAGGTGGTTTTTTTGGTAGTTTAGAGACCGCAGGGAAAGCATGTGATTTTGTTCTCATCGGATGGATTTTCCAATTTTTCTCTTCCATGATTAAACTGTTTTTCTTCATTTTTATGCCCAAAAAAATGAAAATGAAGATAAGGGCTGGCTCGTGGATAGGGGTGTTCACGGGGTGGGGACGAGAACCACAAGGCATTCCCGACGTTCCCAAAAAGAATTCTTTCTCCTTTTTAATTATTCTTATAGAAGTTTGAAATTAAAAGTTAGATAGATCTGTATTTAAATAGTTAAATTTTTATGAATAATTTATATTAAAAAATAAAATTGGTGATGAAAAATGTATTATCCATCCTCGTCCCCATCGAGACGACGAGACAAATTGGGATAAATTTATTTGATTAAATACTCCAGTAACACTAGTCTTCCCAGCTCCCACGCAGTCCCACTCGCAGCTTGCAGAAGAAAAAAAAAGAAAAACATATGTATATATAATAATAATAATAATTTAAGTAGAAAAATATGGTTCTGATTGAAAATTAAATTTAAAAATAATATATTTTTATTTTAAAAATAAAGTAGTTTTTTAATCTAGAAAACTTGTTTGGGATACTAGATTTTTCTTTTAATATTACATGTGGGGTGGAGAATTCAAACTCATAGCTTTTTTATGGTACATATTTATCTTGATCAGTTGAGCTAACTGGGATACTAGTTTTTGAAATAGTTTTTGGAACAAAAAGAAAGACATAATTTTTTGATTTTTTAATATTCTTTCAAGTAGTCATTTTTTCATTATTATTAATTAACTTGATTTAATTGAGTTATAATTTTAAATATAAAGGTGGAAGAGAAACAAATGAAAGTAAAATATCAAAAAAATTATTTTTTAAAATATTTATGTACAAAAAAAGTCTAAGATCCAAATTCACCTTTATTTCTTCAAAATCAATGTTTGGAAGACAAACAATAATAATAATAATAAAGCAGAGACTGGATTCAATTTTTGTTATTTTCAAATATTTTCTTTGACAGTTTCTCAATTCATTAATTATTTTTTTCAAAAGAAATATGACTTATTTAAAATATGGAAATACTATTAAATTGTTTTTAGAAAAAGATTAAACATAATAACAGGAGAGAGAAGAGCTTAAAAAAGTAAAATCTAGAGAGAGAAATGGGGGGATGGGAATAAGAAATAGGATAATAAGTCAACTATAATATGGTTGAAGTCAGTTTTCTTGGGCAGTTCACAAAGGAGCAATCTAGGACTAGAGACCCTCATCTTATTTTACAATATAATAACAAATTGATTATTTTAGTTTTAGAACTAATTTCTCAACAAAATCGCTTACTCTCATTTGCCAAAGACGACTTTGGAGAAAATTATTTACGTTCCAATCTTTTTCAATCTTAGATAATAGTGCTATAAAAGATATAATTATATATCTGACATCACAAAATGAGATTGAGAATGTTGTGACTTTAGAAAAGATCGTGGGCTGAAATTTATTTATATTTCTGGTTGCCAAGTTGTTTTATTGACCAACCGTACCATTTTCGAGCAGTTATTTTCCTTCGTGGATTATAAATGTGGTGCAAAGCAACAATTAACTCCTAGTGACTTTTTTTTTAATTAATGCAGTTTTTCTTTAATTTAAAAAAAAAAAGCAAAAATCTCCCCCTCCACTAATATGTATAATTATGCTTTGCATGTGCTTTTGGATAGCCCTTGGGGCTTGCTTCTTGATGTTGTAAAAATTATAATTCTTAAATTTTATGGGTTGGTTTAGGGAATAATTGTGGGTTTCTTTTAAAAATTAATTGGGTAAATACATTATCTTCTCACCAAATTAAACTATCCAATTTTAGAAAACAAAATAGTTAAGTTCATCTTTAAAACCTGGTTAAATGGATTTGGGAGATTTACACCTACAAACTACAATGGGTGCTGGTTAATTGAATTTGTTGAATTGAGTTGTTAATAAAGCACAAGTGAAACAAAAATCAAAGCTTGGTAGGATCACTTTTTGATAACTATTTTGTTTTTAGTTTTTTTTTAATTCGATTTGTTTTTATACAATTTCATAAATAACTTTTTCAGCCCTCTAGAAAACATATTTGAATTATTCTTAACTAGATTTTTAAAAGATAATAATAAAAGAACAAGTTTTTGAAAACGAAAATCCACCATTACTATTTTTACTCATGTATTTCTTTGTTTTGGTATCAACTATTTAAAAAAAAWTTTCAAAATCTAAGTCAAATATTGAAAAAACAAAACTCCAAAACCTTGATTTTTGTTAAGAATTAAAATTTATTTTAATGAAAGGTGAAAAACAATCCTAATTTTTAAAAACATAAAACAAAATATGGAGTCAGTTATCAAACATGACCTACTTTTAAAAATAGAAAATGAAAGGGTTATAAATTAGGTCTAAAAGAATCAAAATTATTTTCTAAAAAAAATAAATGAAAGAAACTAGTTTTCTCAAATTTATGAATTTAAATATAAAAATTAATGTTCACTTGACAATTTCAAAGATAAATATCAAACAGTTATTGTCCTTGTACATTTTTTGTTTTCTATTCATACAAATATAAAGTTCTTGAGAATATCATAGATAAACTCTGAAACTACTAATGACTTCGGAAATTTATTTCTTGGTGGCTTTTTGGAATTTTACTAAAATTTTAAATAGGTACTTAAAATATATAATGGACAACAATCTAGTATTAAACAAAGTTTATTTTCTATCAATTTAAGTTGATTGTTTGAAAATATTTTTTTATAACAGTAATAATATTTTTCCTAAAAGAAACTATTAATTCTATGACCATTAGGACAATTAAAAAAAAAAAGTAAAAGTGCTATTAGAATATTAGAAAATATGTTAACCTCGACACTAATTATGTATAGAATATCATAATTTTATTGATGAAATTAGTCGAAATACCTATGAATATTAATATGGTATCGGAGTCCAACAAACTTAAACGAACATAAACATTGATGAGCTTAATATTAATATTCAGACACTATAACCATCTATTAGCTTTTATATGTGTTCGTAGAAGGTTTATTTACACAGTTTTTTTTTTCTTTAGTTGACTTTTATAAATGATGCATTTCTTAGAATAATTATAGCAAAAGAGTATAAATATTTTTAACAGTAACTTAAAACAATTTTGATTGTTAAAAAGACATCATGAAAGAGCTCAGAATTCAAACAATAATAATAACAACAATAAGTTTAAATAAATAAATAAAACGGCGTTGAAATTGTTGGATTGGATGTCCAATGAACAAACGCATCTATGTTTATCATTTGCGNAAATTTATTAATATTTTTGTGCGACTGTAGAATGTAAAAAGTAGCCGTTAAAAAATCATTAGAGGATAGGGAGAAAAACTTAGCAAAATTAATGGCAGAAGAGAGAGAAGAAGAGAAGAGAAGAGAAGAGAGAGAGATTTTTCCGAGTAAGAGACAAAAAGCAATAAATAAAAGGGGAATTTTCCTTTTTTTAATTGTAATTTCAATAGTCCACACAGAGAGGGAAATGGAATCTCATAAATTTTCCTCTCTCTCTCCTCCCTTTGGTGTATAAATGAATGAGGATTCAGCATTCTTCAACTCCCTAATACTTCAATTTCCAAAATTCTTATTTTCTCCACAAAGCTTTCATCAATGGAAGAATTCGCTCCTCTGTGGACTTATCAACAGGTTCCTCTCTCTCTCTTTCTCTCTCTAGATTGAATTTTCTTCCATTTTTCTCTTCTGGGTTTTAATTGGATTCAGTTTCCCAATTGGGTATTCCACAACACTAATTTTCATCACAAATTTCCCATCTTCAACTTGTAATTTTGAACGAGGTTTTTCTTTTTTGGCTCTTCCGACATGTCGATTTTGTTTAACTGAGAAACATATGGTGTGACGAATCTTAATTCAGGCGATGGAGGAGCTGAAAGAGAAGCTCTTATACACAGCGATTGAGCTGGAATCAGTGAAAATGGAAGCAAATCAAGAGATGATAAACAACAAAGAGAACTTAAAGAATCTGCTGAATCTTCTTCAGATGGCATACAAAGAACGAGATGAAGCAAAGGACCAGCTGCATAAGCTGCTCAACAAATTCATGTTGCCATCCAATTTCCAAGCAGAGAGCCCTGTTGTCAAAGCAAATTCAAGCATTACAGAATCTAGCAGCCTCTCCGGCTCCCCCGTCGTCGATTCCTTCTTTGACGCGGTTTCGTCGCCCGATTCGGGCAACAATATGGATCCAAGCGCATTGGTGATTGAGAGCATTGTGAAGGGGAGGAGGCTGCCGGAGAAGGGGAGGCTGCTGCAGTCTGTGATGGAGGCAGGGCCTTTACTGCAGACGCTTCTCGTCGCCGGGCCGCTCCCTCGGTGGCGCAATCCTCCGCCGCTGCAGCCCTTAAACATCCCACCAGTTCTCATCAATGGACACGACATGCCGGATGCTGAACAGAAACCAGCAGTGATGTCTCGAAGGTGCTCAACTTCTTCTATGTTGAATTTCTCTGGTCCCAGCTCCAGTTTTAGCTCTGCAAAGAGACAAAGATTCCACTGATATTCACATTCTATTGTAAAAAGGAAATCAAACTTTTTTAAGGTTGGTTGGTTCCATTGTAAATGATGTCAGAGTTTCTGCTTTCGGAAATTGAAATCCAAATTAGATTGGTGATCTGAGTTTCTTCTTCTCCCCTGCATAAAAAGAAAAAAAAATGGTATTTTGTTACTAAGTTTGGATCTTATGGAAAACTGTGCCTACTCTTTTACTTTGATGCTCATGTTACTAAAACTTTCAATTCCATCGCATTGGACCTTCCAATTGGATAAACGTTTTAATTGCTACCTTATTTAACTTCCATTACATTCATCCAATAATTTCAACGAAAAAAAAAAAACTTGCAAAATTTTCATTACTCACTAATTTCAATGAAAACAAACCATGAAAAATCGATGTACAAAATCAAGCGCTTAGAAATTGATAAATAACTAATTGAATAAATATCTCAAAAACTCCTAACAAACAAAAATTCAATCATAGTGTTGTTGGTAAAATTCTCCCACGGTAGACAAAAATTTCCCTAGCATAGCTTTGTTCTTGACCAAAGCTCTCACTCTATGGAAGAGAATGAACTAGCGAGGCAGTGGTGGATCTAGAATTTTTGTTCAAAATGTTTTGTTTAAAATTAAAATATTAAAATTTATAAATAAAGTAAATTATTAATTTAATACAATGAAATTGCATGTTATGAAATCAGGCTGCACTTTAATCAACTTTAATATTCAATACTTTATATGAGAGTCTATTGATATCCATTTATATATTTTGATTATTAATTTGTTCAATAAAATATACTGATTTTTCCAGACAAATATATATACAAGAAAGAGAAGGGAACTGGGAAATATTAAGTATAATTTTTTTTATTTGTAAGTGTTTATGCAAGAGTTTGCACAACGGTTCTTCATGAATCAAGCTCGAACCCGGTCTCCAGTTTCGACCTGAACACTAGTGTGGTCCTGCACAAGAGGGTAAACACTCCGACGCTCAAGTCAGTATAGGTCGGGTTCCGTATTTAGTTCGAGGTGAAATTCGATACCTGAGCGTGAAATGAAGCCCTTTATTTATAGGTGGTGGATCCGACAGTACACACGACCGGCGGTTATATGTCTTTTCTCATGTCGGACCTGTCGGGTTCCGAGCAGATCGGACCACAACCAGGTCGAACCTTGGCGTCTATACTTAGCCTTTTTAGTAATGGGCGAACCCGGTCTCCTCGGCAGGGCCGAGGTGGACCTACGCAATTCTTTTATTCAATTCTTCAAACACCAGTAAAGGTCCTCCACGTATCCTGGGTATGTTTTACCCCCAAACATTGGCCCCCTCTCTGTTAGGTTCGATCTCGATCTGGCAGAGAAGTTCATCCGATTCCATTCTGGACACGTGGAGACTTTTCATTTGTAGAGGAAATATGACCGTTGCGGAAGACGTTTCGATCTGCTAGGTTGTTGGAGAACTCAAGTATTCCGTCGTTGCAGATCTCGAGAAGATCCTAGCCGCTCGTTGATTCCACGTGTATGGCGCAGAGGTTTTTCCGTTTAGCTATAAATAGTCCGAAACTTTAGGTCAAACCTTACGTTCCCTGAATTTATGGAGTTCGATCTGAAACCAGCTCGAACCTTCTGTAGGTCAGTCATTTTCGCTTTACTTCTTTTTCCAAATATGGTGGTTTTCTTGTCTTCCTCATCCAGTAGTGATAGCATAGGCAGTGCGGGTCAGACCATAAGTAGTTCGCCCCCCAAACCAAGCGATTCTGGGGAGGGCTTAGCTCGTAGGTTGGAGTCCGAGCTGGAAGAAATAGAGAACTTTAGGTTCTCAGACGACGGGGAGGAGAGTGACACTTCCACCTCGGGCCAGGGTTTGGAATACCCTTCTAGAATGCCTGAACATTATCTTGGACCCCTCCGTAGGGGGTTTAAAATTCCGAATGATATCCTTCTTAGGATTCCTGAAGAAGGGGAAAGAGCTGACAATCCTCCAGAGGGATGAGTCACTCTTTATTTAAAGATGTTTGAATACGGCCTCAGACTTCCTCTCCATCCTTTTGCTCAAGAGTTCCACAACCGAACTGGTTTGGCGCCGACACAAGTGGCCCCCAATGGGTGGGGTGTCATTTTTGCCTTAGCCATTCTTTTTTGGTTGCAAGCTCGGGACGAGGACGAGGCCGAGCTACTAAGCGTTAACCAACTTTTTGGGTGCTTTGAGGCCAAGAGGATAGCTAAAAAACCAGGTCGGTATTATATGTGCTCGAGGAAGGGCGCGGGTGGCATAGTCAAGGGGCCGACCTCCATCAAAGGATGGGTAGGTAAGTGGTTCTTTGCCTCAGGTGAATGGCTGGCAAAGGACGAGTCAGGTCGTCCCTTCTTTGACGTGCCTGTTAGGTTTGGGAACCTAGGTATGAGGCCGTTGCGTTTACCTCTTTAAATTTTTCTATTCTTCCTTTTTCATGTCTAACTTGAATCTTTTTTTTTTGTTTTGTGCAGTATCGATCAAGCCGATTCCCGAGCTCGCTCAAGCCACCTTCGACACCCTCAAACACTACAAGGACCACTTCCCAAGGGGCCAGAAGATCGGAACCTTGGTCAC